TCGACCAGAGTACTGAGTACAGGTGTTGGGACTCATGCTAAGGCTGTATGAGAGGTTTGTATGCAATATTCCAAATATGGGAAAAATGTTGTTAAATTGGAATGGGTGCCAAAACAAAGTTGCAAGGATGTTGTATCAGAGATAGTAGGAACTGCAGATGCTGGAGAATCAGAAATAACAAGGTGTAGAGCTGGATGAACACAGCAGGCCAAGCAGCATCAGAGGAGCAGGAAGGCTGACGTTTTGGGCCTGGACCCTTCTTCAGAAATGGGGGAGGGGAAGGGGAAGGGGGTTCTGAAATAAATAGGGAGAGAGGGGGAGGCGGATAGAAGATGGATAGAGGAGAAGGTAGGTGGAGAGGAGACAGACAGGTCAAAGAGGCGGGGATGGAGCCAGTAAAGGTGGGGAGGTAGGGAGGAGATAGGTCAGTCCAGGGAGGACAGACAGATCAAGGGGGTGGTATGAGGTTAGTAGGTAGGAGGTGGGGGTGGGGCTTGAGGTGGAAGGAGGGGATAGGTGGGAGGAAGGACAGGTTAGGGAGGCAGGAACGAGCTGGGCTGGTTTTGGGATGCCGTAGGGGGAGGGGAGATTTTGAAGCTTGTGAAATCCACATTAATACCATTGGGCTGCAGGGTTCCCAAGTGGAATATGAGTTGCTGTTCCTGCAACCTTCGGGTAGCATCGTTGTGGCACTGCAGGAGGCCCAGGATGGACATGTCGTCCGCATTTCCCGCAACTCATCCCTCACAAACGGCCTGGACCGTGTCTCCCACATTTCCCGCAACTCATCCCTCACACCCCCTCCCCACAATAACAACCAAAACAGAATCCCCCTAGTCCTCATCTACCACCCCACCAACCTCTGGATCCAATGCATCATCCTCCGACACTTTTGCCATCTGCAATCCGACCCACCACCAAAGACATTTTTCCCTCCCCATCCTTATCTGCTTTCCAGAGGGACCACTCTCTCCGGGACTCCCTTGTCCGCTCCACACTCCCCTCCTGCCCCACCACACCCGGTACTTTTCCCTGCAACCGCAGGAAGTGCTACACCTGCCCCTACACCTCCCCCCTCACCCCCATCCCAGGCCCCAAGAAGACTTTCCACATCAAGCAGATGTTCACCTGCACATCTGCTAATGTGGTATACTGCATCTGCTGTTCCCGTTATGGCCTCCTCTACATCGGGGAAACCAAGCGGAGGCTTGGGGACCGCTTTGCAGAACACCTACGCTCGGTTTGCACTAAACAACTGCACCTCCCAGTCGCGAACCATTTCAACTCCCCCTACCATTCCTCAGACGACATGTCCATCCTGGGCCTCCTGCAGTGCCACAACGATGCTACCCGAAGGTTGCAGGAACAGCAACTCATATTTCGCTTGCGAACCCTGTAGCCCAATAGTATCAATGTGGATTTCACAAGCTTCAAAATCTCCCCTCCCCCTACCGCATCCCAAAACCAGCCCAGCTCGTCCCCGCCTCCCTAACCTGTCCTTCCTCCCACCTATCCCCTCCTCCCACCTCAAGCCACACCCCCATCTCCTACCTACTAACCTCATCCCACCCCCTTGACCTGTCTGTCCTCCCTGGACTGACCTATCTCCTCCCTACCTACACTCACCTTTACTGACTCCATCCCCACCTCTTTGACCTGTCTGTCTCCTCTCCACCTATCTTCTCCTCTATCCATCTTCTTTCCGCCTCCCCCTCTCTCCCTATTTATTTCAGAACCCCCTTCCCCTCCCCCATTTCTGAAGAAGGGTCTAGGCCCGAAACGTCAGCCTTCCTGCTCCTCTGATGCTGCTTGGCCTGCTGTGTTCATCCAGCTCTACACCATGTTATCTCTGTTACAAGGATGTTATCAAGACTGGAGGGTTTAAGTTATAAGGAGAAGCAACATAGGCTGGGACCTTTTTCCTGGAGCATAGGAAGCTGAGGGGTGACCTTAAGACATTTATAAAATCATGAGGGGCATAGATAAGGTGAATAGCAAAGGTCTTTCCCCCAGGTTAGGAGAATCCAAAACTAGAGGGCATAGGATTAAGGTTAGAGGTGTAAGATTTAAAAGGAACCTGAGGGGCAACTCTTTCATACACAGGGTGGTGCGTGTATGGAATGAGCTGCCAGAGGAAGTGGTAGAGGCAAATACAATTACAACATTTAAAAGACATTTGGACAGGTACATCGAAAGGAAAGGTTTAGAAGGATTATGGGCCAAATACAGGCAATGGGGCTAGTTCAGTTTAGGAAATCTGGTCAGCATAGACAAGTTGAGCTTAAGGGACTGTTTCAACCTGTGTGACTCTGATCGCCAACCTGCTACTACCTTGACTTTGATGAGATCACACCTTAACTTTCTAAATTCTTGAGAAAACAAGCCTAATTTGTGTAATGTCTCCTCATAACTTTATAAACCAGATAGGTTTTTAGAACAATCGATAATGGTTTCAAAGTCATTATTAAATATTACTCATCGGGGAATGATAATCTCAGTTTATTTAAAACACATTTACTTCACAAGTTATGAAGTAGACATTATAGCAAATCTAATGTGTGCAGTTTCCAGACTCTGAAGCAGTCACTATCGGAAGCATCAAATTGCACATTTTTCAACCCTAGTGAGACAACCACCCTGGAGACAACAAGGTGTAGAGCTGGATGAACACAGCAGGCCAAGCAGCATCAGGAACAGGAAAGGTGACGCTTCGGGTCTGGACCCTTCTTTAGAAAATCTGGAGACCCACCCTGGAGACAGATGTCTTACAAAAATGTATGAGAGCATGCATGCTACAAAAAAAAAACGGATTGCATTTGCTTCAAAAGCTCTGTTTATAGTTAATTACAACTACTCAACTTGGTGAACAGGCTACGTTCACTTCAATTTTGGAGTAGTGCACTTTCATACCTATATATTTGGCAAAAGATTTATGATAAAGACTGACTATAAGCCACTTGAGATGATTTGGAGAAAACCATTGACCACTGAGCAATAATGACCTGATTCAATTTAGCACCATCCCAAACATGAAAGCATACTGGCCTTTTCGGGAATGATCTAGGCGGCTCCCAAGGAAGCATTTTTAAAGGAATTTAGGTCAACATATTCGAATCATTGCAATCAGATATTTTTCAACAGCTTCACATGTCACCTATGGACATATGCAAATAAGAAGTCTCGTCAGATTGGAAAAGAAGTCATTGATACTACATGACGTCCCTGCCCACCCTTAGTCCAAAATCAAATCCGATCTCTTTCATGTCCATGGAAATGACTACACTGTCATTGTTCACTACCGACTGCCCTACTGTTTGTCAAGTACAAAGTACAGGGGGTTCCACTATAACATGATAGTTGCATTCCTGCACAACATCACATTTTAGAAAATTGCGCTATAGAAATAACAGGGTTTATGGGAAAAGTGGAGTCGAGGCAGACCACCAAAAAAATCATTGAAAAGCCTAACACAAAAAGAACACAGTGTGAATAAATGTTTAATTGATATCTCATAATAAAATAAAAGTAAATTTAACACCTTATTTGAAAAAAAAGTCAACATCTCTTGATGGGGGAAAGAGATTTTGAGGTTGCTCTGTTGTTAATGCAAGGTCTGAGGGTCATTATCACCATCACCACCTTCAGGTGCAGTTGTGCTTGCAGGGTTATGGCAAAAAATAGTTAATCCAGAAGTGGATGGCTGTGGTTAATTGTTTTCTGACTGTTTCTTCGGAATTGGCTTAAAAAAGACATCCAGTTTTTGGTGCTTTGCCCTTTTTCTTCTTTCATGAAGAAGCTGTTCATAGGGTGCCAAATAAGATCTTATTCCACAAACTGCTACCCTGCTGCGTTCTGCATTGTAATCATTAAGAGCTGCAACTGCTTCTCAATTTCTCTCAGGATAGAAGACAAAACAGAAGTGGAAAGCTCTTGCAGTGCTGCACCCTGGGCTACTTCTTCTTCATCTCCAGCTTCCACTTCCCTCTCAGTGACAAGTTGTTGTAGATCAGCAGAAAGGTCTTCATAGTGGGACTCAAGCAGCTCTTCAACAGCCTTACTCTCCACTTCTTCAAATCCAACTTACTTTGCAAGAACTACACAATGTTCTTTGATTCTTGGGACCACCTCTGACGGATCAAAGGTTTTAAAGCCTTGAAAAAAATCTGGGGAGTAGCTTGCGCCAAACTGCATACAAGCCGTCCTTACTGACATCACATGCAAAATGATCATATGATGTCAATGTGTACTCCACCATGCACTAATGGAATCCTGTTATAGCCAACACAAGTTCACATTTTAGAAGTAGCATTCTCCTATTCGTCAGCCGTGTTATAGCCAATCTGAGGTGCCGGAACACACTTAATATCAGTTTACAGCACTTCATTTGATCCCCAAGGTAGATCATTATGAACAATGGTCACAATTTATTGGTAGCTATTTTAGAACACGTGAAAGAAATGGAGTATAGATTACAGTACTTCTCAGCATTATGCCAAGTTTAATGATCTAGCTGAACAATCTGGTTTTCCTTCCAAAACCCCATGATTTCCCCCAGTCTCCAACTGCCGGCTTCATCAATTCTCTTGTACCACTCCTTAAGGTGCTCTCTCTCCACCAGCTCCATCATTCTCATTCTCCCCTCCTAACTTCAACAATCCCGCCTCTCTCCCTCAGCTCCAGTATTGTCCCTAGTTACCCTCATCCAGCTCCATCATGCCTCTGGTTTTTACCCCTGCTCCAGTTCCATCATCAGTTCCCCTCATTTCCATGAAGTTCACTCGCTCCGCCTCATCCCGAGGACGTCACGTGGTATCTCAGTTGACGGACTTCTGATTGGTTACCTGAGGTACCGGTCTCTGTGACACGGAGGACCTATGACGTCATCCAGACCACCAACCAATCATTGCGCGTGGCCCTCACAGACCAACCAACCAGGACGCGGCCTATGGCCCCGGCCGATGAAGGACCAATAAGCGACAGTTACGGGGCAGATTGGATCATAGGCAGCCAGTCAGAGAGGAGAAGCTGACCTTGTGATACGGACGTCAGCTGGGGCCCAAATTTGCTGCTGCCTCCGGGGCGTTTGTAGTTGACTGAGACCCGTGGAAGGTTATCGGGCTTTGGAGCTGTTGTCGGTGAGTGAACGCGTTCCCGTGGGATAGTAAATGGTTATCTTTAACACTCTAGCCTCAATGAAGGGTGTGAGGAACTGGCTGTTGCCTTTTAAATAGTATGTGGCGGCGTCAGGTTATTCGCAGGCCCGGGAAACAACGACAACGACAACAACAACAACGACCACCACCACCGAACAGCAGGAGTTTCAGCGCTTACTGCTGCTTCGATGGCCACCTTCGCTAAACTGAATGAGCCAGAGAGGACAAGCTACAACGTTTTTTATTTTTAGGCACGAATGGCCTCATGCAGCAGAATTTGAGGCTGCGGCATATAAGGCCGTAGGGTGACAGAGGGTTAGAGAACACTTTGTATATATCTTGTATTCTTTAAGGGGATGTGTGGGCGTCGCTGGCTAGGCCAGCTTTTGCTGCGGATCCCTAATTGTTTAAGAGTTCATCACATTGCTGTGGTCCGAAGCACAGCGCTGCGGGTCTGGATCGATAGTTTAATGACATTGTCACCACGCATCTACCTCCTTGCCTGCATTTCAGACTTTAGTATCCTGATAGGTGAAAGCATAGGCACCAAGAACAGTAAAATTGGGATGCTGAAGTCGGATAAGTGTAGGTACCTTGGAAAGTTGTGGAGCTGGAGGAGATTACAGAAACGGAGAGTTGTCATACTTTGGGGGGGGGGGAAGGAATTTGAGGATTTTCAGTGAGACTGGGCATGTTGGGTGATCAAGGTTAGGGAATTTTGGAATTGGGAGAAAACTAATCAAAAAGTGTAGGAAGAGATAACAAGGTGTAGAGCTGGATGAACACAGCAGGCCGAGCAGGAAGGCTGACGTTTTGGGCCTAGACCCTTCATCAGAAATGAAGGGTCTAGGCCCGAAACGTCAGCCTTCTGGCTCCTATGATGCTGTGTTCATCCAGCTCTACACCTTGTTATCTCAGATTCTCCAGCATCTGCAGTTCCTACTATCTCTCCTACAAAAAGTGTAGGAATATAGTTTCCCAGATTTAATAAAAGCTAGAAAGTGGTGTTCCAGGAGGATCAGTGTAGGGGCTACTAGTAATAGTTTACACTGTTTATATCTTGGAATATGTAGCCCAATAACAAATTGTGGAATGGCATTGCTTTAAAAAAAAAACAACACAATGCAATAAATAATTGGAAAATTTTGTAGATTTGGCAGTAAAGTGGCAAATTAACTGGATAAATTATCTATGATCTATAGAAACCTTACCTGTGGTGTAGAAGAGTAAATGGATCTAGAATACAGATTAAATTTTAAAATTCCAGCTTAACTAAAGTAAAACCATGAAAGCCCTGGAATTTGTTTCTAAAAGTATAGAATTCAAAAATAGGTCCTCGGACTCTGTTTTTGCTAAAACTGCACAAGACACTAGTCGACCATCTTTTGTCAGAGTCATACACTATGGAAACAGGCTCTTCGGTCCAACTAATCTGCACGGACCAAACATCCCTATCTGTCCTAGTTCCATTTGCTAGCATTTAACCCACATCTCTCTCAACCCTTCCCATTCAGATACCCATCCAGGTGTAGAGCTGGATGAACATAGCAGGCCGAGGAGCAGGAAGGCTGATGTTTCAGGCCTAGGTAGAAGGGTCTAGGCCTGAAACGTCAGCCTTCCTGCTCCCCTCTGCTGCTTGGCCTGCTGTGTTCATCCAGCTCTACACTTTGTTATCTCAGATTCTCCAGCATCTGCAGTTCCTACTATCTCAGATACCCATCCAGATGCTTTTTAAATGTTGTAATTGTACCCGCCTCCACCATTTCCGCTGGCAGCTTGGTCCATACACACACCACCATCTGAGTGAAAAGGTTACCCTTCAAGTCCTTTATAAATCTTTCCCCTCTCTCCTTAAATCTATGCCCTCAAGGTTTGGACCCCCTGTCCCTAGGCAAAAGATCTTTGCTCTCCACCCTGTCCATGCCCCTCATGATTTTATAAACCTCATAAGGTCACCCCTCAGCCTCATCTGGTGTACTGTGAATGTTTTCTTAATGATACAGGCATAAAGGCAGACCAGAAAAGGTTCACTAGGCTGATACCAGGTATGGAAGTGATTGTCTTATGAGGTAGGTTGAGTCTGTACTGATTGGAATTTAGAGGAATGAGAGGCAACCTTATCAAAACATAGAGGATTCCTAGGGGACTTAACAGGGTAGATTTGGGAAAGCCTAAGACCAGAGGGCATAATCTCAGAATAAGGGGTCACGCAGATGAGGAACTTTTTTGAAAGTAGTGAATCAGTAGAATTCTTCTCAGGATTGTCGAGGCTGTGTCAATAAGTACGTTTAAGAGTGAGAGTTTTTTTGATCAGGAAGGGAATCAAGGTTTATAAGGAAAAGAAAAGGAAGTGGTTTGAGGATTCGCAGATCAACTGTGATCTGTGGTGGAACAGAGTCAGTTGGTTGAATGGCTTTCTCTACTCCAGAAGAAACTGGTCTTTATGGAGTTGTGGACAACTTGTCCTCCTAGTACTGTGCACAGTCTGATCTCCATTTCACAAAAACAACATAGAAGCACTAGAGAGAGATCAAAAGATTAGAGAGTGGTTCCAGAACTGAGACTGCAGCTGTTGGGGTGTTTTTTTTCTTGAATAGAACTTGGAGAGCTGATCGTTAAAGTTGTGTTGGACAGGCTAAATGCAGAAATCTTTGCATTTGTGGAAGAATCCAAAACTAGGGGCAACAAATAAGAATTGAGATCCAATAAGGATATATGGAGGCTTTCTTCTTGGTGATTAGAAACTGTAACTTTTTAATACAAGTAAAGATTGGGATATGTGGTTTAGCTAATTTCGAAAGGAAACTGAAAACATACTTGAGGAAAAAGGGGGACAAAGTACTGCTGACAGGCTGCAATGAAATGGGGATAAGCTTGTGAATTTATTAACATCACAGGTATTTGAGTTAAATGGTCTTTTTCTGCGTTCTATGTTCTCATTAATTCTATCATAATGATTGGATTGTATTTTGAACATCTTGCACAGTGATTGCAATTATCAATATGCACAGGAAGGGGCCACATATTGTAAGTGGAATAAACATTGATAGCTTGCCAAAGTATATAGGACATGGGGGATTTTTCAACTAGATTCTGCTGTGTCTTCAGATTTCAAGTTGACTTTCCTGTAGGTTAATTTAAAAATACAACAATGCATGAATACTCCTTGGAAGCCAAGATGTAGGTTACCAAAAGTTTATCAGTGATTGCAGAGTGTCCCCATACAGAAATTTGAAAATCAATGCTTGTTAGCTTGAATGGTATAAATGTGTAAACAAGAGAGAACTGTTGATCAGTTAGTTGATACACGTCTAGTCTAATCCCTACTTTAGACTACCCACTATCAAATATTTCTTTATCTGTAGTGGAGAGGTAGGTTAGTTGATAGTTCTTCCACATATACCAATAACTCTCTTGTTTTTCAGATAGTGATCTTTGGGGGGTGATGGATGCAGGATTTCAACCGAATGTGCAGATTTAAATAACTTTTTGAAGGTTGTGGCCTGTCAAATTATCTAGGATTCCAGATTCTGGCATTGAAATTGCTGAAATAACATACATTTTTCAGAAAACTGATGCAGGAAAGTATCTATGAAGATCATGAGTAAATAATCCCAAAAAAAACTTTGTATAAATGTAAGCAACATAAGGTATATCTTCAGTCTCTCTTTTTGGATGGTTCCACTGAAGTATCCTACACAATTGTTGAAGCTGTAGGCTGAATGACAAAGGTATGGAGTTATACTATAGAACTTTGAATAGCCCGTGGGAATTGGAGAAACAGATTTGGAAGCAGTTCATAGATGTAAAAACACCAGGGTTGTGTTGGTGGGCAATTTTAACTTCCCCAATATTCACTGGGACTCCCTTGGTGCCAGGTGCATACGTGGGGCAGAATTTGATGGGTGCATTCAGGAGGGATTCTTGAAACGATATGTAGATTGCACCTTTCTTGAGTTCTAGCCATATAGCCTCACTGGATGAATCTTCCAAGATGCCCTCTCTTAGTAAAGCTGTGGCATTCTCCTTAACCAATAATGCAAATTCCCCCACCCCTCTTTATCATGCTGGAAACATCTAAGCCTTGGAATGTTGAGCTGACAGTCCTGCCCTTCTCTAAACCAAGTTTCTGTAATGGCTACCACATCTTAGTCCATGTATTTGTTCAGGCACAAAGCTCATCTGACCTATCTCTTGTATTCCTTGCATTCTTCAAAACAACTTCAATAGATTTCCCTTTCACAAAACTATGACTGTGGGGTGGCAATGACCTAGTGGTGTTATATCGTGGTGGAGTATTAATCCAGGGACCCAATGATTGTCCTCTGGGCCCTGGTTCCTGTCATGGCAGCTGGTGGAATTCGAATTCAATAAAATCTGAAATTAAGATTATGATTGTGAAACCATTGTCAAATATAAAAAAACTCATCTGGTTCATTAATTTCCTTTAGGGAAGGAAACTGTCATCCTTACCTGGCCTACATGTGACTGCAGATCCACAGTAATGTGGTTGACTGTTAACTGCCCCTGGGCAGTTAGAGGTGGGCAATAAATGCTGGTCTAGCCAGTGATGCCCACATCCTGTGAATGAATGAAAAACTGTGCCTGATTACCCTGAACTTATCTAATGTGCCCTGCTACAGCTTCATTAACAACAGCTGTCAATGTTGCCTCAGGGAGGCAATCGCTGGACTGTTAATCCAGACATCCAGGTAATGTTCTGGGGGTGTGGGTTCGAATCCTGTCATGGCACATGGTGAAATTTGAATTCAATAAATATCTGGAATTGGAGTCTAATGTCCTATGAATCCATGTCGATTTGTCAGAAAAACCTATCAGAGATAGTAGGAACTGCAGATGCTGGAAAATCTGAGATAACAAGGTGTAGAGCTGGATGAACACAGCAGGCCAAGCAGCATCATAGGAGCAGGAAG